CGAAAATTTAAATAAATTGGCCTGGCAAAGGAATGGGAAAATGTTCATTCGCCGAGGCGCCGGCGACCGAGACATTAAAACTAGAACGGAGAAAGATCTGGAAATGAAACGCTAAATAGTTATTTTTTTTCTTTTACATAGTAATTTCATCTGTCATCCATCGACATGGCACTTTATGTTGTAAAAGGCAGTTATAACGAGTCCATATCTTTCAAACACTGTAGTGCTTTGCATGACAAGCCGTTTTCTCTACTGCATCTGAATGCTCGAAGTTTAAGGTATAAACAAGAAGCTGTTGAAACGTTTCTAAGTAACCTAGATCACAACTTCGATATCTTAGCTTTTACTAAGACCTGGTTTGCAATAACTCCGATATTGTTCATTTTCCAGTATACAGATGTACATCGATCGCTACCTCGAAAAAATAGGAGAGCAGGAGGCGTGCCGGTATTTGTGAAATAATGTCTACATTATGATGTGTCAGCCGAATACTCTGTCATAACGCCAGACTAGGAGTACTTTATGATCAAATATGGCAATAATGCACTGGTTGTCTTGTACAGGCCTTCTCAAGGCAGAATACCCATGTTTTTCAAATACCTTGAAGATAATCTAGAGTATCTTGTGCAGACTAATATACAAGTTGTTGTTTGTGGTGACTTTAATATATATGTGTTATCTCAGATCCAACTACGCAAACTCCTTGATACTCTGCATTCTTTTGGTCTGGAAAATGTAGTGAAAATAGCCACCAGGGTGACGGACGTGTCTGAAACAATGCTTGACTTGTGTTTTACTAGCTACCAAATGAACGAACTAGAGGCACGTGCACTAACTTATAGAATGATAAACGAACATTAACTCAATTTTTTCAGAGGTTAGTTTCTGAGACAAACTGGAACAACATTTTACAAATGGGTGACCAAACTGTAGCATACGACGCATTTATAACGACTGTGGAGGAACTTAAGGAGCCAACGTTTCATATAACGGAGTTCAAAAGAAACAGATAATCAAAGGAAACCCTGGATTGACGCCGCACTTCGCAAAAGAATACAGCGTTGTGATGAGCTTTACGGCTTATTCATAAGAACGACGTATCTGAACTATCTATCTGAATTTACAAAAGAGACGAACAAGTTATTTCGCGAGGTTAAGCAAGCACGAATCAATTATTATGAGAACAATTTTGCAGACATCTATAATAATTCTAGGAAAGTCTGGGATACTGTTGACACCCTTATGTAAAAAAAAAAGCTGTATTACGGAGCTTACTGTCGAAGGCATGTCCTTCACTGACACTACTCTTGCTGACAAATTTAACAAACACGATTTGGGGTCTGGTGCGTCGAGTAGAAATGCTTCGAACATTACTGATTACAAACGTTACATCACATCTAGCACATAAAGTTAGATTTTTAGGTTTCCAACGACGGAATTAGAAGTAAACAACTTAATACAAAAACTACAGAATAATAGTGATTGCGGTGAAAAAGCTAAACCTATAATATCAGTTGCCAACTTGATTAGCCAACCACTATCACATATATGTAACCTAGTCTTGAGCACAGGTGTATTACCAAGTAAATTAAAAATTGCTAGTGTACCAGTAATACTTACAGAAAGACGTGAAAATTATTTAAACCATTATAGACCAATTTCTGTTCTACCAGTTTTTTTTTTCCAAAAATTATGAACTTATCAATGAACAATTCTTAAAAAACTTTAAAAAAAAAATCTTAGAACAACAGTACGGCTTTTAGAAGCAAAAGATGGCGGAAATGACATTGTTAAGTATAAAAGATAAAATAATTGCTAATTTTGAACACCAACTGTGTAGAGTAGGGTATTCATTGACTAAAAAAAACGTTCCATTCAATTAAGCATGATATCCTATTGTGAAAACTTCATAAATGGGTTTTTAGAGAGAATTCGCTTAGCCTAATATATAATTAATTATTTATCTAATCGGTTGCAATATACAGACGAGTATAACGCGAAGTCAAATATAGGTAAAACAAAGTACGCGGTCTCCCGCAGGGCTCTATCCTTGGCCCGCTGTTATTTCAAGTATATATCAACGACATAACTAACGTACCGCTCTCTGAAGATATAATTCTTTACCCTGATGACACTAACATTTTTGTTTTCTCAGGAAAACCTAAAAGCGATTGAGCACCATACCGGTACGTGCCTCAGAAATGTATCATTATGGCTCATAGCAAATTAGCTAGAATTAAATACTAAAAAAAAGAAAACTAAGCATATTATTTTTAGACCACGCAATAAATGTGTCGAGCAAGAAATCCTCATACAATACCGTGGCGAAATTATTGAACGGGTTGTTTTGCACAAATTCCTTGGCGTTTTGTTTCACGAAAACTTAAGCTGGTCTTTTCATGTAGACAAACTAAGAGCCGAGATATCGCGCTCCGTTGGTCTTATCTGTAGAGTTAGACATTTATTGCCACGTTGAATAAAAAAGCAGTTATACTACGCATTGGTTCATTCTCGTTTTAACTACTGCCTACTTGTATGGTGAACAGCAACAAAAACAAATATAGACAGACTATACACACTGCAAAAGCAAGTCTTAGGTTTAACAGAAAATGCACTGTACGGGAGTCATACTGCTCCGCTTTTCAAAAAGCACCAGTTATTAACACTGCAAAATGTTTTTAAAAATAAATTATCTTTAATTATCTGTAATCCAATAAAGTCCGAACCAACAGCCTTTTTTCAACAGTACCTTTGGAGAGAACATGCTTACAATCTTAGATCCACAAACTACACAAGATAAAGTACGCACAAACTACGGCAACCAGAAACTATCTAACCACAAACCAATCCTTCTAAATGAGCATTCTGATCTGGCGGCTATAATCGAAGACAGTGCATCAATTCAGGCTTTAAAAAGAAACATGTATATGTACTTTCTGTCATAGCAGGAGTGTCTTCCTTCTCAGTTTTTTTCCTCTTTGGAGTGCAATGACCTGTGCTCTGTCATGTTTTATGCTTTTTTTTTTATCATGGCATGTTATTTCTTATTTTCTTGACCTTTATGTAGTGCTATCTCGTGTGCATTGTTATGTTTATAACTTCCAAATAGTTGCTTACGTCTCACAAGTTTTCCTTACTCTCCCTTCGTGTGTGCCACGATGAGTGATGTGCGATTGTGGGGGGGTTAACTCTTCGTCAGGCATTTTTATTGCCTTTTGCGGCGGCCCCCTAGGCAACCGTTGGATGTATTTTGTCTCAATAAAAACATTGAATTGAACTGAATTGAATTGAGGTTACACGTGACGGCACGAGGGTAAACTTTTTCCCGCTAAATTTAGCAGGGAAGGAGGAGGGGCATACCTTCCCCTCTTCCTCTTCAAGAGCTACGCTCTAATTCAGCGCTACGGACAATTGTTAACGTCTTTAATTTTTTTCTATATAAAACCGAAACTTTCAATCTACGCTTACCTCATCGTATTTGCGTACGTGCGTGTGCGTGCGTGCGCGTAAGTTCGTGCATCCGTGCTTGCGTCTGTGTGATTGGATGCGTCTAAGTTTGTGTTCGTTTACACGTGCCCGTGTGCGTTTGTCCGTTTTATTGAACTGCACCAGCACGAAGACCAATTGGGTGTTCGTGAACACTGTGCGTAACACTAATTGATGATGCTTATTATTATTATTGAAAATGCTAGCATAAAGTCCTATTGTTATTCCTGAACTCTGCAATGAACACTAACTGATTGATTGATAGATTGAGTGGTTGACTGATTGCGTTTTAATTTTGGAGGTCATGATTTGTGACAGATGCCAATCGGCAACTTCCGCAACTAGTGCGGGGAAGCTGAATTTGGTGTATAGGTCACGTGACATCAGGTCACGACTCACATGACGTCAATTTTCTCGCTAAATTTGGCGTGGAAACCTAATTTGTTTGTAGGTCTCACGATGGCAATTTTTCCGCTAAATCTAGAGAAACCAAGTTAGCGTACAAGTCGCGTTACATCAGGTCAGGTGACACCAATTTCCCCGCTAAAATTAGCGGGGAAACTGAATTGGTGCGTAGGTCAGTCCCGGAACGTTAATTTTCCCGCTAAATTTAGCGGGGAAATTGAACTGGTGTATAAGTCACGTGACATCAGGTCAAGTGACGTCAATTTCCCCGTTAAATTTAGCGGACGAAAATGAATTGGCATGTAGGTCACGTGCCATCATGTCATGTGAGGTCATTGTGACGTCATATGACGTCACATGCCACGGCTTCACGAAATGCGTCTTCACAAAATCCGGAGCAACTAACCAAAGAACGTTTCACGTTAAAAAGTAATTAACAATTTTTTGTTAAGTAGTCAACATACTGCGACCGTTATAATAATCCACCTGCTGAGCCCCACAAATATACACTAAAGACTGCATCTATCTATCTCTAATCTCACCTTTTTTAAAATTCTGTTGAGCTGCTAAAACAACAATAACACCCTGTATTTTGCGCAAATAACTGAGCACCCTTCTTACACCCTGCCAGCGTCCTAAACGATTTAGGCACCCTTCGCAGGTTATCTGGTAGGGTGCTCGCACCCACGCACCCTCTAGGGGTGCTAACCGTGCAAAAAAAGGGGTGCTAAATACCTAAATGAAAGGTGCTAAGCACACCCAAAGAGTGCTGTAGCACCCCTTGAGGGTGCAAAAGAATTCAGTGTGTATACTAAGGACAACCACATCAGAGGTCACGAGGCCTCTCTCGCTAGTTGTACACTGGTGAGACGTTCTCACAAAACTCTTGTGCAATTGGTAACTCGCGAGCGGGTCATAGAGGCCTTATTGGTCAATTCTACGCAAGCTGTGGGGCCACGTCCAATCAGCAGCCGAGAAAGCTATCGCTCTCACTTTGACCAGAATTTGACCTTTGCTGCTCGAAGCTGCGCTGTGTTCACACACCCTCCACCGATCCCCCATCCCAATACTTAGGACATAAAGTTAAGGCGCAAGATGTCCCCGACTCGCCTGAAAAACTCTTCGTGTAGCTCCTCCGGAGACTTGGTGGGTTCCTTGAAATCGAGCTCCGGGTCCGGGCTCTTGCCGAACCCGCGCAAGCTCTGAAACTCGTCCCCCATCCTAGAGGACAAAAACGAATTGTGTTTTGTGCATATTTAGACAGCGGGAAGTCAATCGGTCCTGGTTCGCGTGTGGTGTCTCGGCTGTAGATGAGAAATTCAACCAGTGCTGTACCACTGCCAGCCTGGGCTCTTTAAGGTAGATCGCGCAGCGATGATACACGACGTTCACGCTGTCAAGCGATGCGTCAATGAGTAAAATTGAAACTGTTGCGCCTTCACATCATACTCTCGCGAGTTTATCAATATCCATCACTGTATCTATTACCATGGCGGAAAAAAACGCAAAAATAACGGCGGTAAATAGCTTTACCCATCGTCATATGGTGGCATACTGTTGTCATTGTGTGAGATCGGCAATTAGAAGGCGCACACATTTTACGAAGGCGGTTTTTCTAAAGTAGAAGTAACTAACTTTAAAGAAGTATCATCAATCCACAAATTATATGTTACCGAAGAAAACTCTCCCTATTATATTTCAATGATTTTTTTAATAGAGAAACGTATAAACGCCGAAAGGGGTTTTTGATAACAACAGATACTTTTTTGGACACAGACGTGTTTCGGGAAGTTGTGCCTCAGAAACTATCTGTCGCTGTTGAAATTTCTATTAATGTCTATGTGTGGCAAAAAAAAAAAAAAAAAAAAGCGGACTTGGTATGTTAACACCTTCAGATACACTACTTACCATTTAGTCGTAAACCAGTGGTGATTACCTTCGTTTGCTCGAGTAGTGTTAATAATCTTACAACTTGCTCACTTTTTGTACCGTCCAGTAACTGACCACTTAGGAAAAGCAGGATCTGGCGAACCCCGATCATCTAAATATTGCTCCACAGCCAATTAGATTGCTGGGTTAGCGTATACACCAACTCAACTCTCCTACGTCACGCCGCGGTGGTGGCGCGCCGGACGCACTTCCGGTCTGAGGCGGTGGGCAGAAGTCGCCGTGCCAGACATGCATTCCAGCAGGGCCGTACCCAGAAAAAAATTTCGGGGGGGGGTTTCGTGGACAACGGCGGCCATTTTGAAAGTGTCTATTGTCTTATTTTCGCCTACGAATCATATGCATCGGTGGCATATAATGGAGAGTTGCAGCAAACCGGAGAACCGGTCCCGGTTTGGTATCCGGTAGCCGACCGGCGCCACTGCGCGTGCGCAGAGGTGGAGATTAAAATTGGCTGGCTGCAAGTGCACCGACCAGGGCCGTACCCAGAAAAAAATTTCGGGGGGGGGTCAGAACCCCCTAACCCCCCCCCCCCCCCCCCTGGTTACGGCCCTGCATTCCAGTGTTCCTTTGGAAGAAACGAGACAAAAAACCTGCCTTCTCGTCAAAATGCTGCGATGGGGGCTTTACAAAGAGAGTCTGGGAAGGTTTGAAGATCAGTTTTCATGTGTTTTTGCACCCTCCGTTCGTCCGAGAACGTCGATAGCAGCCGGGAAAAGGGCAAACCTGACGCTGTCGAACTACGATTGCGTGTGCGGCCCACAATTTGTGGTCGCCAGATGCATTTGCTTTGTTCCAACATGACCGAGAGAAAACCCCCAAGTTGTCCGGACCACCCACGGATTCAGTGCGTCTTCAAATTCACACGGCCGCCTGATCGTTCGAACTTTCGTCTGCTCTTTCAAAGTTGTCTGCTTTTTGTCGTCTGCTCGTTCAAACAAAAGCGGCCCGTAGACCAAACTTTGACCCGGTGATTGCAATAAGAAGTAATTGCAGGTCTCAAAAGACTTAAGTAGGCTCGGTGTAAGCAGTAGATACAAGATGTTGATCATTGGTACCGGTGGCCATCACCGACTTGTTACGCTTTGTCTGTTCCCGCTTCCGATTTTCAGTATCGACGTCGATCATCGCCGCTACCTTCTACACTTTTGCAGCACGAGAGTCGTCGCGACCGAAAATAGCTAGAAGAGTCTCATCATGGTTTTGTACGTCCATTCTGCGGCGGTCATGCAAATACATCTCCGCACGTCAAATTATTTATGCAAAGTTTAGCAGCGTAACGAGCCTTGATGATTTCGCTCAGGCGATTAAAGTGGTAAGACATTGCGATGAGGACGTAGAATCGACAACTCCAACGCGAAAAAGAGTATGCAGACTCACACAGACGCCGACAACGTGACATTCGAATGGTTTGTTGACGCGGGACGCGGTGCTTCTTGCCCGTACTCCATTGCGCGTGCGTTCCAACTGTCGTCTGCTCTTTCAAACTTGGCTGCTTTTTGTCGTCAGTTCGTTCAAACGACAGCGGCTCGTAAACCAAACATTGACCCGGTAATTGCGATAAGAACTAAGTGCAGGCCTCAAAACACTTTTGAAGGTTGGTTGGGGTAAGTCGGCTAAGTGTAAACAGATACAAGAAGTTCTTTATCATTGTTACCAGTGGCCATCACCGACTTGTAATGCCCGATTCTACTTGAGGTTTTCAGTATCGATGTCCACCATCTCAGCTACGGTCCACGCTTTTGCAGTCCGAGCGACGTCGCGACTGAAAATAGCGAGCAGAATCTCGACGTGGGAGTCAGGCTTTAGCGCCCATTCTGCGGCGTCCACGTGAAATGAATCGCCGCAAGTCACATTATTCACGCAAAGTTTTGCCTCGATAGTTTTGCTGAAGCCGCTCAAGTAGTCAGACATTGTTAGGAGGACGTAGAATTAACAATTCCAACGCGAAAAAGAGCACGGGGACTCCCACCGACGCCGGCAACAACGCAATTCAATGGTTTGTTTATGGGCGACGGCGGGCTTCTTGTCCACCATCCACGGCGCATGCGCGGCGCCGGTGACGTCCGCTAGGGGCGCTCCGGTTTGTTTGTAAACATGAGTTGGTGTATAAGTACGCCGGAGAACCAATCCCAAAGCAAGGAGCGAAAGCATAGTCACGTCCCGAAGCCACGAGCGATATACTATAGTGTAAGTTTAACAAAATCTAATTTTAATTTTGCCTTAAATTTAGGTGTGAATCACTCGCGTAAGAAAGGATGTAGAATCAATTTTTTTTTTTTGTATTTGATTTAATACTTGTCTCTGATCACCGATGATATTTTTATAACTAATTAAATTTTTTTACGGAATTTCCTCGAATGAAGATCACTTTTTTCATAAGATCAAAGTTATAGATAGTTAGACTTAATTTCATTGCGAAGAATACATAGAAAGGTTGAGAACAAAGCTTCGCAAAAGCAAAAAGAAATAAATAAAAAGAAATACGCGTTTGGTTATTAAAATAATGCATACAGAAGACTACCAGGTGCACTAATCACGCAAGGTGGGAACGTAATGGGTATTCATAAAGTTGCTTCGTAAAGTAGCACCCAATTTACCTTTGCCATCAAGCAATCATGGAATGCACCATTTATTTTATTTTAATTTTTAACTGGAGCTACATGAAATTTCTTGATTACTTTTGTTTCCTCGATATTGTAGAGACCCAATTATAGCCGCCATACGATATCCAAAACATCCTACAGAAGTGACTGTAAAGACTTTAATGAAACCGAGGTTCCTGCCCTCCTTTCTTTTCGACAGTAGAATCCGGCCACCTCTGCGGCTTGGAGCCATAGATTAAATTAAACGGGGGCTACGGTGAGCGCTCCTAAAGTTGCCGGAATGCCTACTTTCCCGCCGAGCACCCTTACAACCAATCGCTAAAATCCGCAGAGGGTGCACAGGTACCGTATGACGAAGCAGGGAAAATGTTATCACTAGGTGCGTGCGAAAAGTGGTCGCAAGAGAATAGTGCAGCCTCATCCCTTGCTTCAATATTGATAAGACAGCCAGTCGCCGTGGGCGCTGACCTGTTACTAAAGCCCCAATTGTTTTTTTTTTTCACTGCGCAGGTTTTAAATAACGTAATGCTATTCTATTTGGACATCCCATAAAATGGACCTCTCAGCTTGACGACATGGTCTATCGTTTGCTGCGCTCCAGTGATTGGCTCGTTGAATACTTCACGAAATGTTCCTTTGTACAACACCCCTCTCCCCCCCTCCCCCCCCCCCCCCCCCCCCCTTCCGGGTCCCCCCAGAAACAACATCTCGACGGATGCTCCGCCAGTGCTCACCCGTAGTCGTGGGAAAAGCCGAAGTCCCCGTACCACGGGGGCACATCCGAGCCGTCTTCGGAGGGCTTGTGCTCGACGATCGCGTTGTCCTCCTCGCTGCCCGACTCGTCTTCCTTGCCGCCACCGCCGAAGAACGAGAAACCGCTGGCTCTGGGCAGGGCTCCCAGGCACAGCAACAGCAGGAACGTCGGCGCCCTCAGGGACGGCAGCATGTTAACTGCACGGTCCCCGCTGCGGTTCCAGCTTTGGCGCTCAGTGAAGGTACAAGAAACAAGCAACTTGGAATGAACGTGCGCTCACCAAGTTTACGAAAAATTTAATTAGTTTCACTGAGGTTTCAGCAGCGAGAAGATAGATTGCCTTAAAATGGTATTTGATGTCTCGACTGTAGAGGGAATAATCGGCCAGTTTAGTCGACCATGAGCTCTAACTTCGATCTTTGGTAAAAAAGTCGGCGAAAATATCGACAACATTGCCGAATGTTCAGCCTAAAGCCCCTGGTCTTACATGGGGTGTAGGTGAAATATTTGTTGCCGAACGCTGCCCACAAATGTCAGTGGCTACTGAAACTCCCTAGGATTAATGAACATAAAGTTAGGGCGCAAACGAGTTGGTGATGGGAGAACATAATAGACTAAAACCTTGAGACTAGAAAGAACGAGGGACGACCCGACACAAAGGTCTTCGGTGTCGTGTCGTTCCTCGTTCTTCCTATAGCCTCGATGTTTTTGTGTGTTGTTTTCCTAGAATCGCCCCTTTTTTAATTTTTTGGGTATGAATACATGAGGTGAGCCCGGGGACCTCTCCAAGCCTAATTAACTTATCGGTAAAATGAATCTCGGTACGGCGTCGGCTGCCATTGTGATACCCTGCGCTGTAGAAACCACAAGTCCAGAAATCGTGATACCCTGCCCTCTAGAAACCATAAGTCCATAGTCCAGAAAAAAAAAGGAGCAGTAAAGAAATGAAACTAATTTGAATGAAGTGAGGAATGCCTCAGTTTCTGATCCAGTCTTTAAAGGGTGTACAAAAAAAGTCAAACCTTCTGAAAGGCGTCAAAGGCACAGATGATGTAAACGACTTAAGGGAGACATGGTTTTCGGAAATTTATACATATACGTTGTGTAACATTTTTTAACTAGACAACATGGCCTGAACTAAACATTAGCATGTATCAACCTGCACGACATTAGTAGCACCTCTACTTCATCTCAACCGGATTACATAGCATCTCGTGTTGAGCTAAAATGAAAATAAAATAAAAGGCAGCTGTGCTTTTAGGAAGTTCCGTTTGGTGCCGACGGCGTCGTGGAACACGTTTACAGGGTCTTACCAGCGTTTCACAGGAGGCAATCAGTGTCCCGAGAGAAAATGAGAAACAAAAAGCCTCACCTGTAGACTTTGACGCAATGGAGAGCCGTCACCGCGTCTGCGACGTCGGTCCTACCGACAGTGACGACGAGTGCTGAAACCTGGAAACAATCGACCGATCGAAAACCCTTTAAAAGAAAGGTAAAAATAAAAAGACGACGACGCCGTGTTCGCAATTGACCGAGAGTCCTGCGACGCCATTATGGTGTGGGTTGTCGTCGCGGTCACCGTCGACAGAACCAGCGCGCATCGATCGGCAGATCCGACAAACTTGGCGCGCGATCGTGCTGCATGCATGCATGCATATATCTATGCATGCAGAAATAGATTCTAACGACCTGAAAATAAGGTATCGCAACGCCGACAAAAACAAGCAGACACGTCATATTTTCGTTTTAGTTTCGTATATCGACCAGGACGATATGTAAGATCGAACTTTAACTATCCGGAGCACAAGTTCGTCTGCTTCTTTCACGGGGGTTGTGATTATGTCAGACTGCCGAGCTTTTATTGGCTGATTGAAAACAAAAAAGTGGGTAGACATGAAGACATCTAGCATTAAGGTCTACCCACTATCCTTTCAATTAAAGTCAGTCAACGCTCGCAAGAAGCTTTGACTGCGCAAGAAGCCTGCGCAAGAAGCAGTCGTCTTATTCCCCTCGTAGTCACTGACAGCCTGAGAAGCGCAGTATGTGGTTTAGAATGTTCATGCTTCTCGCTTCGTGATTGGTTGTTCCGCGTTCTTAATGGCTAATGCCGCAATCTGATTGGCTATAAGCGATAATAAGATGGTCGGGGGTCGCCATGCCCTGCCCTCCTGAAGCTGTCAGTGCACCATACAAAACTATCGTGCGTAATTTAATCAAACAGGTCCCGCACCGTTTACAATAGTCACTGTCCGTTCCTAAAATTGTGAGTGACTTTAGCGAGACCCCCGTGATTATCATTTCCCCTCGGCGAACGCGTGTAGCTAATCACACAGGTACACAGAAAGGTGACCGATCACTTATGAAAGAAGTATTGTAGCTAATCATTGAGGTTCACGAAAGAAATGTGGTAAAGTCACATATGAAGGAGCAGTGAATCATTTTTCCATAAACATTTCATTTCATTTCTTTATTTTCTCTTAGGGCCCCGTAGGCATTACATGCAGGAGTAAGTTTTAACAAAAAAAATATATGAGTATACACTCTAATAAATCCCTGCGCGTCAACTTACCCGCAAAACACTGAAAGAGTCAATCTGTGCAATCTACAAAATCAGCTCAGCGAATGATGAGGCGGAACATCCGTTCAGACCTAAAAATGAAGTCTGCCCTGTGGCATTACGCAGTGTATCAACGAACAAGCCAAAAAACAAAAAAAAAATGTAAGGAACAACAAACAAATTAGTAATCGCAATTTTAAAATCAGCAGAATCAATTATTAGACTATAGGCGCGAGAAGGCGATTCCAATCTTTTGAGGTTTGGGGAAGAGAAGAGGCATGAAAAGAGGAGCTGCTAAAATAGGGGATGCCTACCTTTAACCGGTGATTTGTTCGTGATGGGGGGGGGGGGGGGGGGGGGGGGGCGACGCGTAAGATGGTTCTATAAACAATGTCTCACAAAGTGTGGGATTAGAGTGATAAGTCCTGTGAAAAAGACAAGCGAGATCATTTGCTACAAAAGGAGGGGTTAGGTAAGGATAAAGATGGGCGGGGCGCTGGCTGTGCGATGATAGTTTGAAAGAATGAAACGAGCGAAACGATTATGAATGGACTCAACAAAAGATGCAAGGATGATACCGGGTTCCCAGATAGCGGCTGCATATTCCGGTTTAGAGCGAACTTAATTCTTGTATAAAAAACTTTAGATCAGGGGTGGCCAGTGTGACTTGGAGTTAGAGCCGCCGGACAAAGCTACAAAAATTCACAGAACCACAGGGGAAAAAGAAAAGGGGGCGCTACTTTTAACAAAAACGATATGGAGGGAACAGCCCTTCCAAAAGGAACAAGTATAATTGTCGAGTACAAGTAACACCAGGAAGCAGAACGTCTCTTCAACCAGGAAGGAAAAATTTATGCATGATTCGCTAGTCATTTACTGCCTCTGACGCCCGTTATGCGTTATATGGTACGGAAGTATTTCTGGAACTTTAAAGAAAACAGGGTTACTGGACACACATATGTGTCGAAAAGCAGTTAAGCTGCATGTACGTGGTGTAGTAGAAAGCTGCCAAGACCTGTGAGTTTTATATATATATATATATATACAGGGTGTTTTTTTTTATTCTTACACATTTGTTTGAAAAAAACGTGAAAGCTACAATAAGGCAGTTTGTGCAGGTGAGTTATACGGCCAGGCGGACATTATGTGGCTGGCTAATCTTTGCGATAAGTCGGCTAATTAATTAAATTTCGTTAATTAACTTTTTATTTACTTAAAATAATCAAATGGTTTCAATTAGAAAATTGCTGAGCATCACCGAAAACCCCTAAATCAACTATTTTTAGCAGGATATAACTCCGGGGCAGCATTTTACGGCGTTCTGTAAAAACGCTCCATTTGGACGCATTTCTATATTTCGGTTTCTTATCGGAGCGCATCTACGTGCCCGCGATCCTGCTCCCCGGTGGTCGCGACGCGAAGCCACCTCCTCGCCTCCCTCGTAGAATGGAGGGAAGTGCGGCGCACGTGTGTTCCGCGTCTCAGCCACTGGGGAGCAGGACCGCGGGCGCGGTGATGCGCTCCGATAAGAAACCGAAATCTAGAAATGTGTCCAAATGGAGCGTTTTTACAGAACGCCGTAAAATGCTTCCCCGGCGTTATATCCTTACGCAAATAGTTGATTTAGTGGTTTTCGATGATGCTCTACAAGTTTCTAATTAAAACCATATGTTTATTTCCACTAATGAAAAAGTTAATTAACAAATTTTATTTAATTAGCCGACTTATCGCAAAAATTAGCAACCTACATAATGTCCGCCTGACCGTATAACCCACCTGCACAAACCGCAGTAGTGTAGCTTTCACGTTTTTTTTTAAACAAATGTGTAAGAATAAAAAAAAACACCTATATATATATATATATATATAATTCTTTTAATCTGCACAGACAACTTTTTACACGCTTGAAGGTGTAATGGTACTCAAAACACCTTCTAACGCCCTCATTTTAACATGAAGGGTGTTAGAAGGGTGTCCTACACAATTAAAACACCCTCTTTACACCTTTAAATTATGAAAGGGTGAAAGAAGGGTGTTAAGAGGGTACAAGAAAGGGGTTCAGTGATGACAGCCGGTAGGGGGAAGGGTGTGTGGAGTTTGGTTCTTGAAAACAATGGAGAGCAGTTTCACATTAATGCCGACTGCGGCCTACACTACGATCCGATGAAGCTAATAAATAAGAGTGCTGTCATGGCGCTCGTCATATTTGTGCGTTTGCAATCACCGGCTGGACGAATCAGGCACAGCGAACCTTTCTCTGCTTGATTGGTCTAGCCGGCGACAGCAAAAACATGAAGACGTAGTGCCATGATAATGCACTTTTGGTTCTACTTGATTAGCTTCACGGGATCGTGGTGTTGTGTAAGAGATGACCGATACTGCGGGTTCACCCTACGCTTAGGAATTCGGAGCAAACAGATCAGGCTGCTTTCCTTTCAGCATTATATTATATTCATAATGTTCGTTGGTGTGCTTGCTCGCGATTGCAGGATTACCGTTCCCGTCGTTGGCTGCTGACTCGCAGGTGTCCCCAGCAGGTATCCTCTCCGTGTTCCTTGACTGCCGTTATCCCTTTCGGAGCTTTCCCTGCATTCGACATGTCCGCATCTCTCGTCCTTCGGTACTCAGCTGCCCCTCTCTTCCCCTACATCTCCATAAATAGAAGGCCCCATTGTTTAGCTCTCCCCCTTCCCCATTGTTCTCTCTCTCCGGAGTCCCGGTGAGCCGATGTTTGTATACCTTTGACTCCAAGCTGCGGTCGTTCAGCAGGAAACGCCACGAGGCGAGGGCAGCGAGACCAAGTCTCAAGGGCTCGGTGGCGCCGCACTGTTGCTCCGTGCGGGCACTTGTGGCCGACTGTTCAGGTGAATTCGAGCCGGGTCTAGTCCGCCAGTGTGAATCTCACCGTTGGCTGTGGTCGGGCGTAATACTGAACTGAGTATAACGTTCTCGAAACCTAAAATGTCAACGTTACGTGTACGCCCTGTTTCACGGGCATAAAAGCTTGCCAGGATGACCCACATCTAAATGTACTATATTGGCCCACGAGCATACACGGGTAAATTACTTCCAAAATGTAATTTAATTACAATTACTTGGCTTCAAAAGTAGTTTAACTACAATTACAATTACTATTGCGTGAAACGTAATTAATTACAATTACAAATCACTTTTAAAAGTAATGCAAGTACTTTACAATTACTTATTTCTGAGAGTGACCCGACTTGCGCCATATAACTTTAAACGAGTTGTATAGAACGCAGCTTATTTGTTCATTCCTTGCCCCAATGTTTGAGGAAGCTTAAGGATCGCTGCATAAATGTCACGTATTCTACTTCCCTTTTATGAATGTCGTGAAATTCATGATAGAAATTAACGGTCTGGGGAAATGAAGTACTACGTTCTTATATTTTTAATAAATAATAATAAATTAGTTCATACGCTGGAAGACGCCAGGTCGCCAAAGAAAATAATTGAGTTGACAGACTTTTGTTAGCCAGGCAAATAAGAATGCGACAATTAGTCTTATATGAATATTTTACCAGTGTTAATATAAAAAGAAAACCCACATGGCGCTAATACGACCGCATTCACATACACACATGGTATTGTAAATTGTTTACATTGAGTTGAAATTATAATGGCTCAGAAATACATAAAAACCGAATCGAGGCTCTTGAATCATTGGCGTCAATATTCACGGGTGCGAGGTCAGTCTCCAAAATGCTTATGCAAATAATATCCGAAATAAAACCAACAGGAAATAAACTTGAACATAATACAAATATGCGACAGTACTGGAAGAGGGGCGTAAAATACTGGCAAAAAAGAAAGCCAAATAACTTCATACACAATTATAATTTACAACCTCAGCTAAAAGCTGAAGCTTAATTTTTTTCTTTTTTTCAGTATTTTGGCATGTTTACGCTATTGTTCCCTACTTGCACCGCAGACGGCGCTACACGGCGCCGTTGAGGTAGGCTCCAAAGAGGAGCCCCTCAACAGCCCGCAGTGTAAGCAACAAAACGATAAACAGTGCGAGGCTATTTATGTTCTGTGTGTGTGTGAGTGCGTGTCTGTGCGCGAGTGTTTCACCGAGAGCTAGGCCGCTTGTGCGAGCGCTGAGGCTTTCAGAGAGGTTCTGTCGGCGCCACAAAGTTTTTCCAAAATAATTGTAATTCTGCCTGAAATTTCTTAATTACTGACGCTAGAAAGTAATTAAATCACAATTCCATTTCCTTCGAGCCGAAAGTCATTAATTAAAATTGCAAATTAACAAGAAAAGTAATTAAATAAAATAATTCAAATACTGTGATTGAATTCCTACCCAAGTATGCCCACGTGCCCTTTTACAAGGAAGTCCGAGTTTGCCCACACCAGGTGATGGCACTGCGCATGCGCAAAAATTAGATTCGCTGAAGATAAATTGTCAGCGCATCCGCTCTGTGGACAGCGACGCTTCCGCAGCGGTGTGACGTCACCGCTGCGGAATATAGATTTGTATAAATCTATAATCTGTATAAATATAGATTTAGTAATAAATGAAATGAACGAGTGATGCAGGTTCACTTAGTCATGGTGCATACTTATAGGATTGTGTATAAATTTCCATGGGTGAAATGCCACGTTACTTGTTTCTGAGCTAAAAAAAATCGCTCACTGATTTTTAGATAGGAGAAAATCCATATTCCTATTCACGAATTTTAAACAAAGCGTCTTCTAAAACGAGACACTGGAATATTAACTTGTCACAAGTATTGTATTTTCCGAAAAATGAATTGTATATTACAACCTTAATTAAACTCAAAATGATTTACCTGAAAAACAGCAGACATTTCAGTAAGATTGGCAGCAAATATTTTCAGGTAACATTTCTACAGTGTGCTGTATTATAACATAGACGATTAAACATTTTAAACTAACAACAATATAGTTCAGTAAAATAACACAAAGATGTGCCGATTTGGGGTGCTACCACATGAATCTCCTGAAAGCACGGACAGCTTCAGAAACGCAGGGAGTGACTTCCATGTTCAGGCTTTTAACTTTATGATTCGTTCTTCGGCGTAGTTATACCGGAAAATGTCGGAGCGATAATATCATGCAAATATTATTTAGAAACACCTCACTATTATTTCGAAGACCACATATAGATCAACCCCCCCCCCCCCCCCCCCCAAAAAAAAAAAGGGGGGGGGGTTCTCCCCTATTATGATTTATTATGTACTGAACAACGCGATTTGTAGTCACTTGTCAACGCTTTTAAATTATTTTTATCGCGGAAAACAAAAATCGTTTAGATTGTTGATTATAGACTGGTGCAATCCCTTACATCTCATGGTTGTTAAACCACCCAGGCGAAAGCTTAAAACAGAAAATCCTTAATACAAGCCGTCGGCTTAGTTACCAGTGTTATGCCACTTAAATAACGGAAAGGCAGCATTTAAATTAGCAAAATTAAAACCGCTTTAAAACGGTTTAAGTAGAAAGAAAAAGAGCACACAGTCCCCCTTTCTCTTATCTTTCGTTTTATCAAACTTAAAAAAAAAAATTATATTAAAAACAAATTTGATGAAACGCAAAGCAAGATAAATGCAAACGAGACCCAACTTATGATACCAGAAACGAAACTGCAACAAATCTTTCTAGAAAGGGCAGGCGCAAGTTGTAACCTATCCCCGTTCGTAATAAAGGGCCCTGAAAAGGAAAAAAAAAAAAAAGTTTTTTTAAACAATATGGTGGGGACACGCGTGTCAAAAAATACATTAAAAATTGTTTACAGCAATATTGATGGCGATGGAGAGATTTATTTGAAATTCTGCGCGCGAAGTCCATGACATCACGGGTCATTCCGGAATGACCATCTCGGTCTTGAAGGCGAAGCAGATCCACCTCTCCTGCACGCACCCGAAATGCGGAGAGGAAAAGAAATGGAAAGGAGGAGACTGCCAACTAAATCGCGTTTCGCACCGTCAATGTCGCTCTAATTTATTATTTTTTTTTGGACACGGGTGTTTTAATTAGACTTAAAAAAGCCGTTTACAACTCTCTGTAACGACGAATTAGAGCGCGGCTCTTGAGGAGGAGGAGGGAAGGGTACTTAGGGGAGGGTCATGTATACTCCTCCTCCCCCTCCTCACCTCCTTATAGTGTCTGCTACTACTCCCTCCAAGCGGCGTCGCCGTCGCCGTCGGCGCAACCGTGAGGTCATGTGACCCTCGTGACCTCACGGGGGTCACGTGACCCTCCTAAGGTCACGTGATCCCCAGGACCCCCTCGGGAGGGTCACGAGGACGTTTCGGCACGGTGCCGAAACGTCGCCGCGGCTACGCCGACGGTGACGCCGACGGTGACGGCGACGCCGCTCAAGCCAGAAACGGGCGTCTAAAAGCTGCGCTCTAAAAACTCTTTTTTTTAAGGGCCCTTTAAAGATGGCTGCTTTCGGTTACTGCCAGAACTGCGACCGGGGACGCTTCCACGTGAGGACGCGATTACAGGTGAGAATACTTCGGCAGCAGGCTTGTACAACAATATCTGTCCGGTAGTTCAGTAAGTGGCTATTGGTACCGCTTTCACAGTATTCGACTCGCTTAACGCTTAAATGCGGTGGTAACGAGTGTTATAACCGGCTGGCCGACTTCAGCTTTCTCTTTGCAACAGGTTTTCTGATATTCTCTGCTTAAACACAAAGGACTCCCGACCAGGCGATAGGTCAACGCCTCGGTAGAGTCTTGCCGATGAAGGGGAGACCCACAGCTTTGCAACAAAACGAATTTTAATACTACAAGAAAATAAAAACTGCGAAAACAACAGGATTCTAACGCACTTTACCCGGCCGGTGCACGGGCGGCGAAAATAAAAACACTCAACACACAACGAATTAGTCAAAAAACAGTCTACAGCTTAGTACAATGCGTTAACCATCTCTTACGCGGAAACTTCCCCGAACATGGAAAAAATAACAACTGCGGAGCCTAAATGTTATCAAATAATAAATCGGACACTCGTGAGAATAAAAACCAGGTACGGAAATACCGCTACCTTAATTACAAAAAAAAAAAAAAAAAGCGTGTGGAGGGGAAATCTCGTCTCACAGTGTCCGGGAGTGACGGTCTTGCGAGGCGCTGTCCGAAGGGGGAAGGAATGGTCCCGGTGGTACCACGGTGGGTTGGGCGGCTTCAAGTGGCCACACAATCACACACACACACACACTTCATCGTCGAAGTCTTCCCCAGTCCGGACCTGGCCCGCTACCGTTGAGCTCCACGGACTCGACGCTTCGACTCCCCGTCTGTTGCTTCCGAGTTTCCCGCTCACACTGCTCGCCTTTGGCCCAAAAACTCCCCCTCAACGGGCCCCCACATTCCAGCACGCAGGCGTGGAAAACAAAACAAAAATAAACCAAACTCCAGGACGCTGGCCCGCTCGTCTCTTCATCCTCCCCCAAAGGCAACATCGCTTCGTTTTCGTGGAAGCTGGGTCCCAGCCCTCACACCCCGCGAATTTCTTGAAAGGACGCGGCCAGCCCGGGAGAATGGATAACGTAGCACAGACGGATTTTGTGGCATGAATAATGTAACACAGCCGGATTTTGTGACACTCTTTCGAGCCATAACTGCTAAATCTACCTTAGAGTGACAATAGTGCTACTGATATTTTTTTTTTCTTTTGCTTTCACGCCGGCGCTTTTTTTTTTTCTCGCGACCTGTTGAAACTAAACAATCTGGAAACATGATTGTTTCATTAGTCACCTTGAGCATCAAGCTTGAGCGGAGTTTTCTTGTTTTTACGTCATAAGCTTAAGCATCCATCCGAATGTGTATATTGCTTTCGCGTCGTCGTTGTTTAACTATTTTATTAACATTATCAGCACCAGTTCTTAAGTTGTCTTCGCTTGACAACAAATTTGGCGCAAAAAAACGAGTACAAAAGATGTACAGAAACACGGCGACGTTTTTGTGTACCTTTCTTGACCTTGTCTTCTGCGCTGAATGCTGTCATGAATTGCCGACTAACCCAATTATTAGGCATTGTCTTCGCTTCCAGCCATATAATTTTTATACTTTTATTTCGAAGTGAAGGTTTGTAGAAGCACGGCGTTTCTTGATATGATGTGCGTGGCAAATGTTATCTTGCAGTAGGTATGGCGAACTCTACATACTTTGTAATTTTTCGCGGAGTCGTGATAACGCGCCAGCCTCGTGTTTTCAACTTTCAGCATGTTACATAATTCAAAAACGAATAAACAAGTCGAGCAAGTATACCTGGGCCTTGCTTTTGCTACTGTGATTGATATGAAGATATAAAATAATAATTAGAAGATCTAGACCACTTTAGAGCACTAACCAAAGTAAAGGAATGCATTTCTTACCAAGACCTAATAGTAAACATTGTTCAAGGTGTTTTGCATTGAGTATAACGGACCTTACCTTTGTTTCTTTTTGCTATGGACCGAGTCTTTCTGCTGCAAATATGGCTGTTAGGATTGCTTTATCTATCATAATATATGTTGTTTCAATCTCACAAGTTACTGTGCTTCTGTGGTTTTGACGTTCTATGTTGGCGTCCGGAAGGCAGAGAGTATATGGTTAAAAACCTGGAGGGTTCCTTTTGTGGAGCCTTTGGGGCCATTGATTCAATTGTACTGTGGCATAAAACCCCATTACTTCCTTTCTATATCAGATGCATTCCCGACCGAGCAGAAACTGACGTTGATTATACGGATGCTCATGTAAGTACTGTAAGGGTTCTGGGAAAGACGGCTGGTTTCTCGATCGGCCGGGCGACGGTCGTCTTGTCCGGCGGCGTGTATGATGCTCCCTCCCCGGTCGTTTTGTGTAGTTTTATTTTTCTAGCGGGAGACCGCGTGGGCCTTTCTGCCGTCGCGGCCCCCCCTGGAAAGCGTCTTCCTGTGTCTCCCCCATCGGTGTGACCCCTCGGGAAGAGTTGTTTTTTATTTTGAATCTGGAGGCTTGCGCATTCTTGGGTTTCAACCTGGGGGTTCCGGAGAGGCGCCGCTATGTCTGCAACGGGATGCACGGGCGAAGTTACGGAGCTGGCGGCTGTAGTCCGTTGGCAAGTTAACGAATGTGTATCGACGCCCTTGCCAACTATTGGACGGTGGATATCACGTGGCTCCAGCAAAGCTTTGAAATTATAGGTTGATCCTCTCCCGAGAGCGAGGGGGTCAGCGTCTTCAAAAGTCCGTGACGGGGGAGAGAAAAGCCCCTTTCTGGCTTGGACTTGGACTAATTTGGAGGACGGCGATTCCCTTTGCTTTGTATATACTGTGTACAATAGCTCGTCACGTCTAAATAACCAGTTTAGACGAAGTCCTCCCGCATCTGTCGCACTCTTCTGATCACCCACCGAACAAGGCTCATCAAACGATTGGCCCCGCAAGACACCGCCGGGCAGTCATCATCTATTCAACCAAGGGAAGAAAGAACCTTTACTAGTACACTCAAGCCAAAAAGTCTCCATGTCTATGGTTTTGAAGTCCACCTTTTATAACAATCATGCAGCGGCAGTTATTGTAGCAAACCTACCTTGGGGGGGAGGGAGGGGGAGGGGGGGGGGGGGTCTTCAAGGGTGTTGATGGCAGGTTGACTTAATATTTTAGGAATACATTAGAAACAGTTTATTTGTGTTGCTGTCTGTGACATTTTGATGCTGTACGAATAACAGGAGTCCCACAGTGGTATTCTTTATTGCCGTATTTGTCTGGGTTACTTTTTTGTGTAACAACCGGGTCAATCAAATGAATGGCTGTACAGGAACATTATCGCAGTCTCAGAACATTTGGAGGCAAACAGCTAGTGACATACTGCTACTGTGCAGGGCTCTTGCTAACTAACAGGCTTGTGTTCCTGTTACTATTTGGGTGCATGTTATAAGATGGGGTATCGAAACACGCAGAATATTTATTAGCAACATTTTACATACTCGCCTGGCACTTGATATCGACTCTGTCATGAAACTATCTGAAAAATACACATGAAAGTGCTTGTCCTAAAATTAAGCCGCACTGCTGCTTTTCACTTGTATGTATGCTATCACAAAAATGAAAGCCCCTTTACAAAGAGGCTAAACATTGGTTTGGTTTCTGTTTTGGTTTGTTTCAGATGCACCTGAAACACAGCGTTGATGTCTAAAGCAGTTGAACGAACATTCAACGGAGGGACAGTAGGATGGACTCAAAGTTGGCGTGGCTGGCAGCCCGCAGCTTTTGGGAACCAAAAGACCTGCACATCAGGAGCATTGCACGGACGCCTTCTCTCCTTTTTCTCCAGGATGGACCCCAAGGCAACCCGGACCTGATATGCAGTAGCGCGGAGGAATGGCAAATTGGTTGACTTACATTTCACCCCACTCCAGATAAGTGTAGACTTTGATACCATAAGGCTGGGTTGTAAGTATTCATCGCAACACATTACCTATGCTGTTGCAGTAAAAATAAAAACTTACTTCATACTTGTATATTGAAGCAGGTTAAGAATTCTTGCAATTTTAAATTAATGAAAATCACCGAAGTGACTTATGCGTGTATGAGCTGCTCGCAATGACTACCCGAATTCAGCCAAGCAAAGCCGGAAGTTCCTTTTTCATTTAGAAGAAAACAAATATTCATCTTTTCGTTTTCACGGGTAAAAACATGACATGAGATTTATGCATGCACCATTGCAGGCTGGTAAACTACCATAGTCTGGGACCAAATTGGAAGCCGTATCATTCTGAGAAGATGGTCCTGGCATTTCAACATAACTCGGCAATATTGACAGGATGGTACGTACAATGTAAAAACTCTGTTCATTTTTCATGTTACCTGGGAGTTTTGGTGGATATAGAGCTGGCTTCTCTGATGCCGTCTAAATTGTTTATAGGATAATATACAAAATATGCAAACTAAACTCTTGTATATTGTAAAGAATATAATCTTCACAAATCACCTGCAATGGCGAGCAAAAGGTTCCGCGAACATCTGGACGCTGTGAATATTCATATATTCAGAGCATTTGCAGCCTAGTATCAGAGTATAAAATTATTTATGCTGAGATAGTCATAAATAAAAGGGGCTTTTGGGATCTAAATATGCTTCTTTAGCTAAACTTTAGCTTTAGCTAAAAAGTGGTTATTCATTGGCTCCCATAGCTGTGTGCTCGACAGCTGAGCGCGTGCTGAGGGCGGGCTTTCACAGTTCATTTGCAACGTGCATTCCGCACTGTCAAGAATGCCGGTCTTAGCAGCCTATTAATGTGAGCTCGTTCTAAGTATGCGCTCTAAACATCACCCCCAAATATGGCGTCCAGTGAATACCCTCTATAGAGCCTTTCCCTCCTGTTCGTTCACCTGCCCCGTAGTCCTTACCGTCACTTCCGTGTTTCTTTTACCTTTTTTTTTTCTTTCCTCTATTTCTCTTTTACCTACTATCAATTATCTCTCCTCGCTCTCTTTTACCCTTTACAGCTTTCGCCATTTTCATGGTAGTGAGGACTAACTAGCACTAACAGTTTGGCTGGGCCCGTCTCTGGATGCCATTGACAGTACAGGTAGTATTCACCGGACGCCGTTTTTGAGGTGACTCCTCACCGCGCATGCTCGAGATCAGCTCTCCATGTATGGTTTTCAAAAAAACACAATCTTAATGGTGCGCAATGTGTGTATTGGAAGTTTTGTGGAAACTTGCCGTCAACACGTGCTGAGCAGTAGCGAACTCAGCTATGGCCGCCAGTGAATTCCGCCTATAGTCCACAACAACCCTCTTTCGTTACTGTTGGTTTAAACCAAAATGACGGGAGCACCAAAGGGTTGAAGATCGCCGAAAAATGTTCCGTCGAAACAATATGGTTCACTCCTTGTTGGACAACACGCGGCGTATTCGTAGCGACCAAAGTAGCGACATGACATGTCTCGATAATCAGCAGGTATCTTTCGGGTTCTAGGGATATTGATCTTAGTAATGACTGTCAAAGAGGAGGATTTCCAAAGTCAAATATGTTTTTGGTACTATAGTGTGGTTTTATTTGAAATTAAACACGCATGTCGAAGTGGGTATTATGATTTGCTTAAAAAGATAATGTATTAAAACCCCATTTCTGCAATGAACAAAACCACTTCTTATTTTTTATAAAATACGTTGTTATCCACAAATATTCTCAAGAGGAGCAAAGTGAAATGCTATATTTATGCTACTTGATTTTTGTACCCAGTTCTGTCGGCTGTTTAAATAGGTAAAATCGAATGCATCCACAGTTATTTTTCTTATAAACGTATAACGCATGGCCTTCTTTTTCCTTTAAACTAAATTGCTTCGGAATGTGTTTTGTCAGAAATTAAAGTGCCGAACATCGCATCTTTTACGTCATGGTGACACATTATGAGCCTGGTGTCTTAGGATTCATCATATATTTGCTTATGAAATATTATACGCCTCTAGGCCTATACATGTGCCATCGACTGGTATTATTCTAAAGTAGTTTAATTTCACACGATGGACTTTTCCAAATGTTAAACTTTCGTAAAAAAAATAATCATCTATGGTTGAACCCGTTTATTAAAA